GGGAGGAAACATTTAGGAACTAGAGAAAAGTTGTATTTTTCATCTAAGTTACCAGATCCACCTTCCTTGTTTATGTTAGTCAGGGAACTCCACTAGAACCGGCCCACCTTGAATGACCCTGCTGGTATATAAAATACTGGTGACATCGCTTCTAGCATTACAGCAATGTGCAGATCATCACAGGATAATCAACTGTACACTGTAGACCAAAGAACAGCAAGTCGAAATTTTACAAGGTTGGCTGGTTTGCTTGTGAGCATTGATTTCTTGGCATTCCTTAGTCAGCTGTATGGACCTTCTTCCTGCTGTACAAGCTTTCTTCTGGAACCATCTTGAAAAGCATTTCCTGGTGAACATTTCTTCAGAACCATATTCTTGTCCTTTCAATTGTTGGCTGATGCTGAAAGATCACAAGAAGTAATATCCCTAGATAATAGGTTTTTTTTTTTTTTGGAAGGGACAAAGATGGACATTGAATATATTTAATTCAATAATAGAGCTTTGATGTTGACCTAGAGCAATCATCTTTCTTTATGCTAGGCACTTTGGTTTTGAGTGGCCTCATAGAGCTGTAACTGGCTAACTGACCTCTTGAGTAAAGGACTTAGAATTTCTTTTCTTATTTTAGAACATCTTTTTATTGGGGGCTCGTTGAACTCTTATCACAATCCATACATCCATCCCTTGTTTCAAGCACATTTGTACATTTGTTGCCATCATCATCCTCAAAATATTTTCTTTCTACTTGAGCCCTTGATATCAGCTCCTCATTTTCCTCTCCCTCTCCCACCCTCCCTCAGGAGCCCTTGATAATTTATAAATTATTATTTTTCATGTCTTACACTGTCAAATGTCTAATATGGTCTCTTGAGGGCAAAGTTGTTTGCTCCTTAGGCAAGTGGGATAGGCCACCACCTTCCACGGTTCAGTACCGTGGGGAGTGCTGATGGCTCAACCCAGGGGCTGATGAGGCACCGACTGGCCTGACTCTCCACCTGGGATAAGAGGGACACTTTGCCACTGTTCCCTGGCAAAGCTGCTGAAACACAGCAGTCTGCAAAATGTCAGTTCCTCCCTGGTCCCTACTGTATTCTCTCCTCCTGTCTGTGAACAGCTTGGCAGGTGCATCAATGTTTCTTTGTATGCCCTCATATAATTGTCAACTGCCCCTTTGTGTAGAAACCTGGCACGAGATGCAGGCTGCATGATAGGGAGTGTAGAGAAACCTGCCTCAAATAAAGTTCTGACCCCTGGAGTGCTTATGCTTCCGGGTCCCCTGTGCCCCCACTTTGCTCTTTCTTTCTCTCATCTATCCGTTCTCTGACTGCAGATCTGCCCTCTCAAACCCATGCAACTTGTGAGAGAGCTGGACCCCTTAATCATACAGGTCTCTTCATTTTTGCAAACATCTGAAAAATTCTGGAGAAATCTTTAAACAATCATTATTTCCATCTTTATTGTTTCAGATTGCCAGGGAATCAGTTCCTTCCTTTCATCTCGTGGAAGACACCGGCTTCCCTTGGAGCTCCTGTAGTTTCCATTCCAGACCATAAATAAAGCATTGAAGTGAGCCATACATTTTCTTTATTGTACATAACTGTTACGTTTACACTGTAAACTAGTCTCTTCCATGTGACACACTGAAAACGTTTGAAATTTGTGAGGATTACCAAGATGAGGGGGGGGCAGTAGAGGTTATGCATTGGACTGTGTTCCTCCAGGTTGACAATTTGAAACCACCAGCCGCTCCACAGAGAAAGATGGGGCTTTCTACTCCCATGAAGATGCCCAGTCTCAGCAACTCACAGGAGCAGTTCTGTCCTGTCCCACGGGGTCCCTGTGCGTCAGTCCTGTCTAAATGACAATGACTTTGAGTCTATTTATTTTTTTGGTTGTATCTGCAAAGGAGTCAGACTATCATCTTAAATTAATCTAAAGCAAAAATGGGAATTATAAATAATCTTGATTGATAAATGGGGAAATATTTTAATGGACTGTGCAGTGTTTTCAATTTTACGCAGTATATTCATGAAAACCATCTAACACACAACACTCCAAAAACCAAAATCACTGCCATTGTGTTTAATCTGATTCCTAGGAACCCTTTATAGAACTCATTTAGTTATAATTTGTCAAATGACGTCTCCATGCCCAAATGCTGCTTCCCGAGAGACTGCTACTGCCTGTGGGAACTGGACATTATGCATGTACCTTATAGAAACTCTCAATGTCAAAATCTCACCAACCCAAAAGAGAGAGCCAGCAGGCCTTCTTTATAAATTAATAGTCAAGAAAGGAAAAAAAAAGCCCTACTCAATTCACTGTGAAACAAAACCTTGGACCGTTAGCCTGATTATTTTGTTTGTTTAGGTTAACTTAATTATAATGATGGATTAGTTTTTCCTCTGGGTTGAACTTTTCA